CTATAAGATAGTTTTGGATTCCCTACACCTTGGAAGAATTGAAGGCTAGGTCGTAGGAAGTCTGACCAGATGGGACTCGATTAGATCCTCAAGTGTCAAGACATACCATTGAATACCTGTTGCAGCTCAGAGTATAGTCACCTTGCTCCAAACACCAAACCACACAAAAGTTGAAGATTTTGTAGTTTATTGAAGAAAGGAAAAGTCTTAAATGCAAAAGTAAGTTTCAAAAGTTCAATAGCAAATAGCATGAAGCATAATCCAAAGAACATCGATCAAACAAGATTCCATGACAGCAAGAGAGAGTCCCAGGAAGCCAAGAACATTGCCCAAAAGCCAAGGCAATCCAAAGAAGTTACCAGGTTGTTCGTAGAAGTTGCACTGACAAAGATTTGTCTTCAAACACCCTGTTTAATATACTTTCCCAACATGAACGCATTCCGTTGACCCCTAACCTCCTTCTTGTTAGCAAGCCTCGCACTGCGGCAAACTTTGAATTGTAAACGATCCTCCCTATCTAGATCTTCAGAGCTCTCAAGGTTGGATAGCTCATTAGCCACCTGAGAATCGTCAGGCTGAGAGCCATCCTCCTCCATCTGCACCTGGCTAGTTTCACTAACATCAGAAACATCATCTGAAACATTCCTTGCCGTGGGAAACTGAACCTCCTCAGATTCTTCTTCAAAGGAACATCTTCATGAACCTGAATCCCATCATGTTCTACCTAAGGCTCCAGCTGAGCCACAACAATACCAAAGTTAGGATCTTCCATGGTGCAATGTATCTCTGATTTCTGAAAACTGAGAGGAAGGGAATCAACTCATTTGCAAATGGGCTGCTGAGGGAGAGTTCTGCAGGCTGACAAAAACCCAAATATATTGTTCAGACTCATAAAGCCCAAACTCTCTCTAGAAGCCAATATGACTGAACTGAGGCTGTTGTTCTTCATATCCCCAGGCAATGTGGCCTTGTAGTAAAAGATGATGACGATGATTGGAAAAGTTGAAGACAACAAGAAAAATATAGAATCATAGAATCATAGAATCATAGAATCAAAGAGTTGGAAGAGACCTCATGGGCCATCCAGTCCAACCCCCTGCCAAGAAGCAGGAATATTGCATTCAAATCACCCCTGACAGATGGCCATCCAGCCTCTGCTTAAAAGCTTCCAAAGAAGGAGCCTCCACCACACTCCGGGGCAGAGAGTTCCACTGCTGAACGGCTCTCACAGTCAGGAAGTTCTTCCTAATGTTCAGATGGAATCTCCTCTCTTGTCGTTTGAAGCCATTGTTCCGCGTCCTAGTCTCCAAGGAAGCAGAAAACAAGCTTGCTCCCTCCTCCCTGTGGCTTCCTCTCACATATTTATACATGGGCTATCATATCTCCTCTCAGCCTTCTCTTCTTCAGGCTAAACATGCCCAGTTCCCTAAGACGCTCCTCATAGGCTTGTTCTCCAGACCCTTGATCATTTTAGTCGCCCTCCTCTGGACACATTCCAGCTTGTCAATATCTCTCTTGAATTGTGGTGCCCAGAATTGGACACAATATTCCAGGTGTGGTCTAACCAAGCAGAATAGAGGGGTAGCATTACTTCCCTAGATCTAGACACTATGCTCCTATTGATGCAGGCCAAAATCCCATTGGCTTTTTTTGCCGCCATATCACATTGTTGGCTCATTTTTAACTTGTTGTCCACGAGGACTCCAAGATCTTTTTCACACGTACTGCTCTCGAAATATAAAACCTTATTACATATAGATAGACTTAATCATGAAATGTGCAAGACCTGAGCTGGACAGTTGAGGAACAGGTTGGTTGGATGACATTCATAGGACTGTGAGAGTTGACTTGAAGGCAAATAAAGACTTAACATTGTGTGGGTTGAGAAAAAGGATGAGAAGCCTTTTTGAAGACTTATGTAAAATGTTTATGTTTTTATTAGAAAAATGAAGGTAAAGTATATGTAATGTATAGTTAATATAATTGTGACGATGTGTAAATTTTATTCCTTTGGTTATGTGTAATTTAAACAGTAGTTTAGGGATGGTAAGTATGGGAGATTATGTTTTGTGGGAGAGAGTGGCTTGGCGTTAGCTGAGTTGCCATAGCAACATGGGCGGAGCCAACTGCCTCTTCAGGGGCAGCTGTTTTAAAAAAGAGTCAGTCAGTACGCCAGCGAGCTACTGAGTGGACTGAATCTTTTGGTGGAGATTCAGGGAATGTGTCTGTAGCCAGTGTGCTATAGGGAAAGACTGAATCTCTTGGTGGAGATTCAGGGAATCAATTGGTGACCAAGTGGTTGCAGAGAAGGACCCGGTACAGGGGGTTGTTGATTCTGAATTAAGAATCAAGGTTTGGCTGGGTTTAAGCCTGTTGTGCCAGCTGTGAAACCTTTTGAAGTGTTTGCCTGAGATTACTCATGAAACCTTTCCAATGTAACCATCAAGATTTGTGCCTCTTTTGAAGAACAGTTATACATTGTTATACTCATGTTGAAATAAACCTGTTACTGTTTTCCTCAAGCCTTGCCTGATACAGTTGCTCCTAAGTTGAACAGCCTGCAATAGTAAAGTCAAGCCAAGAAAGTAAACGCTATGCTATCAAGTGAATAAAGCCTTCTGTAATTAACAGTCCCTTTATAAAATAGCTCCTAGGTTGATATTGATCGTTGCCTGGCTTCCCTCATAGATTAGGTGGCAGTGGGTGCTTTACCACGCGCACCTTCACTATTGGTGGCATTCGGTGGCATTAAAACGGTCATCGTTACAATTGGTGGCAGCAGTTTAACAACTCCTTCACAATAATGTTTTGAGAGGGGATGAGAGTATGGACTGTGGGAACTGACTGTGGTGATCTGCAGTGTGGTTTTACAGGATTTCAAAAGGTTGGTCTGTATGACAGCTAAACAGTTAAGAATGTGAATTAGAGACGACTTGAGAGTTAGGGTTGTTGATAGAAATGAGTTCACTTCAGGCCATTTAGTTAGGAATTAGTTGGCTAAATCTATGCTTTGGGCTCTTTGTATCCACTGGAGTTCGATTCTAGGACCCTTTGTGGGTACCAAAATCCATGGATGCTCAAGTCCTATATGCAGTTGTGTAGGAAAAGGGTATTCCTCACATAAACTGACAAAATGAAGAATTCATGATGCCATAGCAAATGGTGTTGGGAGAGGAAAACCTAAGGCTTTTGACTTAATGTTTCTTTTGGCTTTGAAGTATGTCTTCTTCTCATTTGATGAAGTGGGCAGCGCCCATGAAAACAAATGCCATCATAAAATTTTATTAGTTTTTGGGCTCTTTCACACCTCATAAATATAGCACCATAATTCCACTTTAACTGCCATGGCTGTGCCTTTTAAAATCCTGGAATTTGCAGATTGGGGAAGGAGATTTTATTTATTTATTTATTTATTGAAAACATTTATATTCCACCCTTCTCACCCCGACTCAGGACAGAGGACAGCATATATACAGCAAACATTCAATTCCATTCAGGGCGGAGCACAGCATATATACGGCAAACATTCAATGCCGGGACATAAAACCATAAATATATACAAACATTAAAATCACTTATATCCACATTAAAAGTTGTTTAAAAGCCATCTCAGGACACCATTTTGCCTCCTTGCACTGCCCCAAAGGCTTGGTCCCACAGCCAGGTCTTCACCATCCTTCTGAAGGACAGGAAGGAGGGGGCTGATCTAATATTACCGGGAAGGGAGTTCCATAACCGGGGGGCAATCACTGAGAAGGCCCTGTTTCCCATCCCCACCAAATGTGCCTGTGATGGTGGCGGGATCGAGAGCAGGGTGTCCCAAGAAGATCTTAGTTTCCACAGTGATTCATAAAGGGAGATGCGTTCGTACAGGTATTTATAGAGTTTTCAGCCAGAGAGCTCCAGTATTTCACCAAACTACTGTAGAGTGCATCCATGGTAGTTAGAAGTGGAATCATAGTGCTATAATTGTGCCATGTGAAAGGGGCCCTTTGAGGTTCTCTCTGCTGTTTTTGCTGCAGCAATCTAAGAGCCCCCCCTCTTGAAATACTGAAAGCATACCGAACATGGGGATGGCTAATTCATTTGGGGGCAGGGTGAGGGTGATGTTTTGCCAACCTGACTTACATAAAATGTTTGGTTCCGAAGTCCTTTCATCGCTTGGCTTGCAGACTTTCTTTTCCTTTTATTGTTTTTCCAAATACCAAACTTTACCGTCTGTTTCCCCTCCTTAAACACTTTTCCTTTAAGACCACTCATTCATTATTGTAGGATTTGCCTACTGAAATAATTAAGTTGGAAAAAGCAGTGTTTGGTGACCTGCCTCAAAATCTTGCTGACATTAACAGTGTGGGATTAATCCCAGCATATAAAAAATTGTTTTGAAATCTATGTTCAGAAATTGAAGGGTTTTCCCCATCACCACCACCATCTTGTCCGACTAATGAAAGTAGATACCGGTTCTAATGTGTGCTGTGACCCATTCTACACAAAAGTTTTAAATTGTTTCAATCTCTTTATGACAACTTCCTTGCTGAATAATTGCCGAAGCAATCAAAATGCAAAGACGCCGTTGTGCCAGCCTGAAAACCACCTTCACTGTGAATATTTTGTATAGTTTATTCAAAGCTGTCTCTTCCCGTCTCCACGGCAGCTCATTCTTTTTGCCAGCTTTTGAGCCGTTGTTTGAGAACAAGGTGACAAGCAGCTTCATATGAGGCAGTTTATAGTCCTCAAATTGTGATGCCGTTTATAGTCCGCAGGCTTCAGAAAGGGGCCTGAGGCTGCTTATCTTAACGGTGACCTTCTGTTCTCCTCACCTTCTTATTTATGTTACTACTCAGAGCTGCCTTCGAAGGCAGCAGGGAAATCCAAATCCTCCTTAGCCAAAATACCATGCTGATTCCCTTCGGTTTGATTGCGCGATTTTCAGACAGAAAGGTGTAGCTGGTCTCTACAGTTCCATATATTGAATTGTTGTGTTTGTTTTTCTTTTCCAGGACCCCCGAACAGTGTCCAAGCGTGGTTTCCTTGCTGTCTGAAAGTTATAACCCCCACGTCCGGTATGGGGCAGCCATGGCTCTGGGTATCTGCTGTGCTGGGACAGGAAACAAGGTGAGGTCAACCCATCCTCTGGCTTTTTACACTTCCATTAAGGTTCTACAACAGAAGAACTTAAGGCTGGATGAAGGAGCTTTAGAAAGACCACACAAGAAGTTACAATATGGGCCAGAAAAGCGCTATATGGAGACTACATATGGTCCTGATCTCCTTTTTTGTGCTTCTGACCTCCTCCAAAGCCTCCAGGTCATGCCCAGTTTAAACAATTTCAGTGCAAAATTTTCCCCAAATTGTTCCAAATCCTTATCAAGATGATGATGATGATTCTCCCAAATACTACCTCTTTCATAGAATCAAAGAGTTGGAAGAGACCTCATGGGCCATCCAGTCCAACCCCGTTCTGCCAAGAAGCAGGAATATTGCATTCAAATCACCCCTGACAGATGGCCATCCAGCCTCTGTTTAAAAGCTTCCAAAGAAGGAGCCTCCACCACACTCCGGGGCAGAGAGTTCCACTGCTGAATGGCTCTCACAGTCAGGAAGTTCTTCCTCATGTTCAGATGGAATCTCCTTTCTTGTAGTTTGAAGCCATTGTTTCGCGTCCTAGTCTCCAGGGAAGCAGAAAACAAGCTTGCTCCCTCCTCCCTGTGGCTTCCTCTCACATATTTATACATGGCTATCATATCTCCTTTCAGTCTTCTCTTCTTCAGGCTAAACATGCCCAGCTCCTTAAGCCGCTCCTCATAGGGCTTGTTCTCCAGATCCTTGATCATTTTAGTCACCCTCCTCTGGACACATTCCAGCTTGTCAATATCTCTCTTGAATTGTGGTGCCCAGATTTGGACACAATATTCCAGGTGTGTTTCTTAACACTTCAAGCGATAACCACCTGAAGCCTAATTCTGACAAGACCCAAGTCTGTGCTTTCCACCTACACAACCCTGAAGCCAAAAGGAAATTGAAAGTTACCTGGGAAGGCTAAGAGTTCAAACACTGATTCCATCCAAAATATCTTGGTGTCAACTTAAATCGAACACTAACATTTAGAAAACACTGCACGAACACCAAGCACAAAGTATCTGTACACAATAACATCCTGCAGAAACTTACTGGCAGTGCATGAGGTGCAAACCCAAAATTAATAAGGACATCAGCTCTGGCCTTGTCTTACTCAACTGCTGAGTATACCTGCCTTGTTTGGCACAAGTCTGTGCCATGCAAAACAGGTGAACATAGCACTGAACGAGACATACAGAATAACCAGAGGATGTCTCAAAGCTACACCTGTTAATAGACTCTATAACAGGGGTCCTCAAACTAAGGCCCGGGGGCCAGATACGGCCCTCCAAGGTCATTTACCCGGCCCTCACTCAGGGTCAACCTAAGTCTGAAATGACTTGAAAGCACACAACAACAACAACAACAACAACAACAACCTATCTCATCAGCCAAAAGCAGGCCCACACTTCCCATTGAAATACTAATAAGTTTATATTTGTTTAAATTGTTCTTCATTTTAATTATTGTATTGTTTTTAAGTGTTTTTTGCACTACAAATAAGATATGTGCAGTGTGCATAGGAATTCATTCATTTTTTTTCAAATTATAATCCGGCCCTCCAACAGTTTGAGGGACTGTGACCTGGCCCTCTGTTTAAAAAGTTTGAGGACCCCTGCTCTATAATATTTAAATTGCTCCCCCTGATGTGTGATGGGAAGTTGCTGCTAACTGTGAGAGAAATAAGGTTGAACACTGTGAAAGCCACCCACTGCATGGCTACCAGCCTCCTCCCAGTAGACTCAAATCAAGGAAAAGATTCATGAGAACCACCACTCCTCTTAATGTTCCCCTAGCAACAGCAAGAGTATCCTTTTAGGCAGGTAAACCAGGAAATCCCAACTGGATGGCCCCCCTTGAGGGTCTTCCTCCAGGGGCAAACCAAGAATGGGTAGCTAAACCAGGCAACCCTAACTGAATGGCCTCCCATGAGGGTCTTCCTTCAGGGGCAAACCAAGAATGGTCAACTTGGAAGTCCCTGAACAGACTCAGAAGTGGAGTGGGCAGATCTAAAGACAGCCTGGCAAAATGGCACTGCCTGGAAGAATCCTCACCTTGTGGGACTGTGAAGCAGAACAAATAACTCCGCATCAATACGCTTGCCCACAATGCCCTGCGTCATGCACAGAACAAGAATTATTTAAAGCTACAGACAGTGCAGTCGCTGTTGCCCGTTTTTGGTCTAAAATTATTTAGCCATTTGTGCTCCCTCTATTTTATCAGTTTTATACTTGTTCATTTGTGCAATGCTTTTGACATTAAATAAAAAAAACAAACCATTTCAAGTCCACCTAAAATGCCACCAGACAACCAAATACACCAAAAGTATAGCTTGAGTAACTTTGGCCACATCATGAGAAGACGGGAAAGCTTAAAGAAGACAAGGATGCTGGGGAAAATGGGAGGGAAAAGGAAGAGGGGCCGACTAAGGGCAAGATGGATGGTATCCTTGATTTGAACATCAAATCATCCAGACGTCCCCTGGGCAACATCCTTGCAGACAGCCAATTCTCTCACACCAGAAGTGACTTGCAGTTTCTCAAATCGCTCCTGACATGACAAAAAAAAATCCTTGAAGTGACTGGCTTGACCTTGAAGGAGCTGGGGGTGGTGACAGCCGACAGGGAGCTCTGGTGTGGGCCGGTCCATGAGGTCACGAAGAGTCGGACGCGACTGGAACAACAACATAGTTTGAGTATCCCTTTTTACCAGAATTCCGAAATGCTCCAAAATCTGAAATTGTCCACGTGGTTGTTGAGATAGTGACACATTTTGCTTTCTGATGTTTCAGTGCATACAATCTTTGTTTCATGCACAAAAGTAGTAAAAAAAAAATAGCTAAAATTACTGCTTAGGCATGTAGGAAACAAGAATAATTTTTGGTGTAGTTTTTGCATGTTCAAATATTCCAAACTTCCAGAGGCCTCCCCTCCTTTTGAAAATGCTGTTTTGGTCCATGTGCTGCCAAAAAAACCAGCTCCTGTATCACTTCCCACCTCTGTATTACATATTGAACATCAGCCTTGGGCTTTTGAGCTCCGATTAGGATTCTCCCTCAGAGAACATTTTTTTCCCCAGTGGAAAATTAAGACGGCAAAACAGAAAAATGAGGTTGTCATCTCCTTTAAATAAACCTACTTGATTGATGCGCTCTCTTTAAAAATGCATAGTTTGAAGAAGAAGGGGTAGTTTTTGTTCTCAGAGAGGCCAAAATACACATCACTGCACATGATCGGGGAGGAAGCATTACATCAGGCCAAAGTTTGTGTTTGCAATATACAGCTTTTGTGCTTTTATGTACTTTAAGGAACTGCTGCTTTTGTCCCTGTTCTTAAGATTACTGGGTCTTAGATGTCAATCAGGCGTCAAATCTACGTGTCAATCAGGCTTGGGCAAACTTGGGCCCGCCAGGTGTTTGGGACTTCAACTCCCACAATTCCTAACAGCCTTCCGGCTGTTAGGAATTGTGGGAGTTGAAGTCCCAAACACCTGGCGGGCCCAAGTTTGTCCATGCCTATCTGAGAGGCACAGGGGAACTTCAACAGTAGCGCTCTTTGGCATGTCAGAGCCATAAATCTCTAGGGTTTTCATGGGCAGTGCTTCTCAGTGGGGAAACACAGGCCTCCTGCAAAGCGCCTCTTTGTCCTGCTCCACTCAGCTGCATGATGGATGCCTGCCATTTCCTGCCTACGTAAACTTCCCCTTCCTCTCACCAGATTTGCTATGAGCCAGGATACCTACCACACAGAGCTGATGGTCTCTGCTCTGCGTTATTGGAGTGTGGAGGGATAGGTGTGTTGTTTTGTGATGTGTGATAGGGAAAGCATTTAATTTCATTGTGAAATAGTTCAATGACAATAAAGCCATTCTATTATTTAGCAGAGAAAGCTAAAAACATTGCAAAACTTCATTATTCCATAGCATTGAACCAGGGCAGCTAAAGTGGATTCATTCTACAGCATAGATGCACCCTAAAGTTTCCTTTTCCATTACTGGAAGCTTTGGTGTCCTAACACTTTTTGGACCAAATGACATTCAGCAGCAAATACTTTTTTTGGTTTCAGAGTATTGAAATTTGAGGTCCATATTAGATTTGATGGTTCATTAGACGAGTAAATATGGGTGTTAATTTGATTTATATCCCACTTTCCTCCCAAATATGAAATCCAAAGCAGCCTTCCTCTTGCTCTTTCATTGACCCATGTGTCTGATGTGGCCTTTTAAACTGCCTTGATCAGGCATGATTATTTTAAATATATTTGCTATTGTGGTTTTAATGCTTATATTGTCTTGTTAATTTTATGTTTATGCCGTTTTTCTTGTATGTATTGATTATGTTACTTAGAAACCACTCTGAGTCCCCTTGGGGAGATAGAGCAGTATATAAATAAAATTTTGTTGTTGTTGTTGTTGATTAAACGTGTTGGACTCATGGCATCAAACTGTATCTGTTTTGTCACGCACTGGGCCTGTAATAATTGTCTTTTGAAATAGGACGTGCACTTTGTGCCCAGCGAGAAGCCAGGGCACCACGAAAGAGACCCTCAAGGATTTTCTTGAAGAAATTGTCTTTAGATGGCTTGAAAGGTTAAACAAAGTCCTTTATTATTGAACAAATTAAACAGTTATTTCTCAGATCTTCAATGAGTCAAACAAATGCTTCAATGCTTTAAATCAACTGGTGGCTTCCTTAATCTTGTCCACAAGGGACAGGCAACTGTCTTCGTTAATTGTTCTTAGACTTTGAGAGGAAAACCCTTTGTTAACCTCTCCCAGGCTGTCTGTTATCTAAGTTTTGTTGGTGTGGGATCTACTACCGATTCCAAACCGCATCTTGGTACCGAGTAAACCTACCAGACAAAGCTTGTAGATTCTCCAGCTGGAGTTCTTTGGGTCTGTAAAGCTGTTTTCCCTCTGGAATTTCTTTAAGACTTTAGGGCTGTTTCCCTCAGATGCTGTAAGGCTGAGAGGCTGCAAGCTCCAAGCCAGAGCTTTGGGAATTTCCCCCTGGAATGTCTGGAGAAATGAAGCTTTTCTGCAGGTGAAGCTTGTCCACGTCCTCTAACTTAGCTTTCCTCACTAAGACTAACTAAAAATGGCCCCCTCTTCCCTTCCCATCTCCCTGGAGAAGGGGCGGATCCAAACTTAACAATGATAGACAGGTAGCTTGCCCTATGACTGCAAACCAAAGGAAGCCACCTTTTTGCAGAATCCCTGAAACTTTGAAATGCATGGAAACACTTAATAGAAAGAAAATAAAGTTGGAGCTCCTGGTACAGACGTACCAGCACAGTATCATTAATGCCATTTGATACCACTTTAACTGTTGTGGCTCAGTACTATTTATTTATTTGTTTGTTTGTTTATTTATTTATTTTGTCATACCAGGAGTGACTTGAGAAACTGCAAGTCGCTTCTGGTGTGAGAGAATTGCTCATCTGCAAGGACATTGCCCAGGAGACGCCCGGATGTTTTGATGTTTTATCATCCTTGTGGGAGGCTTGTCTCATGTCCCCGCATGATGAGCTGGAGCTGATAGAGGGAGCTCATCCACGCTCTTCCCGGATTTGAACCTGCAACCTGTCGGTCTTCAGTCCTGCCGGCAGTGGGGTTTAACCCACTGTGCCACTGTGGGCTCCGCTCAGTGCTATGAAGTCATGGGAGTTGTAGTTTTCCAGGGTTGCTTAGCCTTTTCTGCCAAAGGGTCCTACAGATCCCAGGGTTCCATAGCTTTGTGCCATGGCAGTTAAAGTGATGTCAAACTGCATTCATTCTAGAGCGTAGATGCTCCCACGAAAGTCCGTCTCCTCCTTTGACGTGGGCTTGTGAACCTGTGATGTAATAGGAGCACTATAGTGCAATTCATGTCCGTGCGTATTGCCAAAGTTTGCCTTCACTGGACAAAAATGGGCAACCCGTTGGTCCGTGCTCTCGGAGTCTGTTTTATTTCTCCGTAATGTGTATAGGCAGGGTAATAGAACCTGCCTGGCTGCAGTTCTGTACTTTTATTGTTTATTTCTAAAATAAGGGATCTCGAGCATCTGTTTATATCACTGTGTCTTCTGGGGCTTGTATCAACATCAACATATTTTAAAGGCTGAGTTAATATGTTAGAACGTAGGAGATTGGAAATGAAGTTAAGCTTTTCGTTAGGCCAAAGAGGCACTTCCATCTCCGTCCTCCATAAATAGCCCTGAGCTCACGCAGCGCCATGGATTAGACCTGGGCCAATAAAGGCACAAAAATACAATGCAGCCTTATAAAAGTCAACTTTACATAATTAGGACAACGGTTTTGGAAAGCTTGTGCGGTGAACAAAATTATTTTTAAAAACCCTAGAGTTGTACTTGGCAGCGACCTGCCTTTAATTAAAAGTTCACTCATGGAGATTAAAGGCTGCGTTGAGTAAATTTAGACTGATTTTGCAAGTACAGAACCCACATATCTGTAACGGGAAATCCCTCAACTCCAATTCAGTTAAGAGGAGTAGTAATGACCTAGAATCACACATTCCATCTTTCTTTGTCCATTGTAAGAGTGCATGGCATTGCGTTGTTCCTGTGAAATAATCTTTGTTTTATGTATTGTCGAAGGCTTTCATGGCTGGAATCACTGGGTTGTTATAGGTTTTTTCGGGCTATAGGCCATGTTCTAGAGGCATTCTCTCCTGACGTTTCGCCTGCATCTATGGCAAACATCCTCAGAGGTAGTGAGGATGCACCTCTGAGGATGCTTGCCATAGATGCAGGCAAAACGTCAGGAGAGAATGCCTCTAGAACATGGCAATATAGCCCCAAAAAACCTACAACAACCCAGACTTTGTTTTGCCCTGGGTCTTGATGGCTAGAAGTTTACAAATTCCCTTTCAAGACCTTTTGGAGTATATAGGACTTAACGTATAGCAAAATTCCAGATTTCTGAATTATTTGGAAATTATTTGTAAACTGCTTTGAGTCCTCTCAGGGGTGAGAAATGTGATATATAAATACTGCAAATAATAATAATAACAACAACAATAACAACAACAACAATAATAATACAATACTCATAACATCACTATCATGTTAAAAAACAAAGTATGGATTGTCGATGTTGCAATCCCAGGCGACAGCAGGATTGAAGAGAAACAACTGGAAAAGCTGACACATTATGAGGATTTAAAGATCGAACTGCAAAGACTCTGGCACAAGCCAGTAAAAGTGGTCCCAGTGGTGATGGCACACTGGGTGCAGTGCCTAAAGACCTTGGCCTGCACTTAAACACAATCGGCGCTGACAAAATTACCATCTGCCAGCTGCAGAAGGCCACCTTACTGGGATCTGCAAGCATTATTCGCTGATACATCACACAGTCCTAGACACTTGGGAAGTGTCCGACGTGTGATCCAATCAACAGCCAGCAGAGTGTCTGCTGCTGTGGACTCATCTTCTTGTGTTTCAAATAATAATAATAATAATAATAATAATAATAATAATAATAATAATAATACTTTACACCAAGAAACCTACTTCAAGTCCTCCTCAAGTAGATTTTTTTTCTAGTGCAGTTAGCCCTTCACATTCTCTGGGGTGGAAGTGAAAATTTGCCTTTTTTAAAAAACCAAAGAGAAGCTAGGTATTTCTAGGTCTTCCAGACCAGCTGCATGGTCAACTTCTCCTGGAAGCTGACCATAGAATTGCTCTGGAACATCTAGAGCAGGGGTCCTCAAACTTTTTAAACAGAGGGCCAGGTCACAGTCCCTCAAACTGTTGGAGGGCCGGATTATAATTTAGAAAAAAAAATGAATGAGTTTTCTATGCACACTGCACATATCTTATTTGTAGTGCAAAAACACTGAAAATCAATACAATAATTAAAATGAAAAATGATTTTAACAAATATAAACTTTTGTTGAAGGCTTTCATGGCCGGAATCACTGGGTTGTTGTAGGTTTTTTCAGGCTATATGGCCATGTTCTAGAGACATTTTCTCCTGATGTTTCGCCTGCATCTATGGCAAGCGTCCTCAGAGGTAGTGAGGCCACCTCAGTACTTCAGAGGATGCTTGCCATAGATACAGGTGAAACGTCAGGAGAAAATGCTTCTAGAACTTGGCCATATAGCCCGAAAAAAATCTACAACAACCCAAATATAAACTTAGTAGTATTTAAATGGGAAGTGTGGGCCTGGTTTTGGCTGATGAGATAGGGTTGTTGTTGTTGTTGTTGTTGTTGTTGTTGTTGTGTGCTTTCAAGTCATTTCAGACTTAGGTTGACCCTGAGTGAGGGCCGGGTAAATGATCTTGGAGGGTCGTATTCGGCACCCGGGCATTAGTTTGAAGACCCCTGATCTAGAGATTCCTGAAGAGGCATTCTTGCAGGTACAGTAGAGTCTTGCTTATCCAACATTCTGTTGGATAAGCGAAAATGTTGGATAATAAGGAGTGATAAAGGAAAAACCTATTAAACATCAAATTATGTTATAATTTTACAAATTAATCACCAAAACATCATGTTTTACAACAAATCAACAGAAAAAGCAGGTCAATACATGGTAACATTATGTAGTAATTCCTATATTTATGAATTTAGCACCAAAACATCTCAATGTATTGAAACAACTGTGGATCCGGGCGGAAGGCGGACTGCATTGGGTAATACAGAATGATGGATGAGCAAAGATAGGATAAGCGAGACTGTACTGTATAAAATAGTTTTCCAGGCGAAGTTTACTATAAAGTTGGACTGAAAGACCTAGAAATTCCTAGAGAGCTCACTTTAATCAAATCTATAAACTTGCAAATGTGGAGGGTACCTTGTTACCTAAATACCACCAGGAAGTTATCTTTTGCTCATGTGGAAGAGCTTTTAACAATGTTGGTGCATTCAGATTTTTTTTTCTTGTGTCAGGAGCACCTTGAGAAACTGTAAGTCACTTTCTGATGTGAGTGAATTGGCCGTCTGCAAGGACGTTGCCTAGGGGACACCTGGGTGTTTTACCATCCTGTGGGTGGCTTCTCTCATGTCTCTGAATGAGAAGCTGGAGCTGACAGATGGGAGCTCACGCTACTCCCTGGATTCAAGCCGCCTACCTTTCAGTCAGCAGTCCTGCTGGCACAAGGGTTGAACCCATTGCGCCATTGGAGGCTCCTTGGTGCATTCAGATGCAAGGAAGTCAGCCACACATGTTTTGGTTTGGAAAATACGATATAGCCTGCATTTGAATATGATGACTGTATCTGATCCTCCTTGCTAAGATTTCAGAGCCTGTGCTTTGAGGATGGTCAAAATAGAGAAAGGTGGTTGGAGTAGCACTGAGAGGAGAGGAGCCAAGCTCATAAACATTAAACACATTCTTACTTCAACACATTCCCACAGGTCGATTTCAAAGAAACTCAGATTCCAGTAAGCAATGTATTCTGTCTGATTTATTCTTGAACTTTTGAATGTAAGCTTTAAAAACCCACTGTTTTGATTCTCCTTTTTCCTGTTGTCAACATGATGGGCAAAACAGATCCGTTACGATGAGTGAAAACTCCCATGCCACGGCCCGTTTGAGGAATTGCAAACCTAGTAATTCTGACGAAAGCCTGGTGTTTGAAAAAAGGAGCAGGGCTAATAATCTGCGTGCTCTCTTTCCTCTTTGCCCAATAGGAAGCAATTAATTTGCTGGAGCCGATGACAAATGATCCGGTGAACTACGTGCGTCAGGGCGCACTGATTGCATCTGCCCTTATCATGATCCAGCAGACAGAGATCCTCTGCCCAAAGGTGAGTGATGGAGGTATGCGCGCGCGTGCGAGAGAGAGATTGAGAGATTGAGACGAGGGCCTTTGGCTGAAGGAGACAAAGCTTCCACAGCAGTGTGGCAGGAGTTGTTTGCCAACCGGCTTTCTCTGAGGAGCACTGGCTGATGAGCTTTGGAGACATAATTTATTTGCTGGTGCTTTGAGCTCAGTAAATTATGCAAAGGTTGTCAGTGCATGGGCACCCAGCTTCGGTATTACACATTTGGCCTGGAATCTGAACTCACAAATTATACTTGTCTCGCTTTTCTGAAGAGGCGGAGAACATGAGACTTTTGTACTCAAATGACAACAGCTTTTCACTCTATAGAGCAGAAAATAAACAGAACATCTCTAGCTTCTATCATTTGTGACAAGACAGCAGTGGAACTCTCTGCCCTGGAGTGTGGTGGAGGCTCCTTCTTTGGAAGCTTTTAAACAGAGGATAGATGGCCGTCTGCCAGGAGTGATTTGAATGCAATTTTCCTGCTTCTTGGCAGAATGGGGTTGGACTAGATGGCCCATGAGGTCTCTTCCAACTCTTTGATTCTATGATTCTATGACTACAAGTCACCCTATAACAGGCATGGGCAAACTTGGGCCCTCCAGGTGTTTTGGACTTCAACTCCCACAATTCCTAACAGCCGGTAGGCTGTTAGGAATTGTGGGAGTTGAAGTCCAAAACACCTGGAGGGCCCAAGTTTGCCCATGCCTATCATAGAGTCAAGGCATGATTCCTTTCTGTTTATCAAGCATATTGAGCAGAGAAGCTCTCCAAATTTATAATATTCCCTTTGGTGAACCAATTCAGAAGTCTATAATCAGGGAGATTTATCACAAGCTCTTCATCCCTCTTTTGGATAATCCATTGAAAAATGGATTACAAGCTCTTCAAGACATTACTCAGTAGCATGTTGGAATACATACAGGATTTCTCAATTATTTATTCAATATGGGGCTGTCTGGTTCAAGACATTTCCTGTAGTGCATCATTAATATTTCTTAGGTTCAGCAATCTTAAACTTACCTTCACCTTAATGTTCTCCTTTATTTATTTATTTATTTATTTACTTACTTACTATATTTATATACCACTCTTCTCAGCCCGCAGGCGACTCAAGGTGGTTTACAGAGGCAACAATTCAATGCCCAACAACACCATAAAAACATTTAAAACATTTTAAAACATTAACATATAATGTAAAACCATAACAAGATCAATAAGACATAAATCATTTGCGTCTCCTAGTTAAAACGTTGTCCAATCTCACCATCCAGTTGTTCCATATTCCTATATCTGTTACACTGCATTTTCAGTGTGCTTCTCTTGTTAAAATTGTGTTGTTATTGATTCTTTTTAGGACCTAGGCTTTGTTAGGTAGATAATGTCCTGTTAGATAGGATTGCATTGGCTGTAACCCTGTTGTGCAATACTGTTGGAAATACAGTCCTAATGGACATGTGGTCATACACCTACTGAAGGGTTAAGTAGGTGGTGACGTGGAACTTGAGGGACATGCAAAGATGCTGAGTCATGACCATATGACAGACATGACAAGGGCCGCATCAGAAGCATTCTCTCCTGATGTTTCACCCACATCCATGGCAGGTAAACAACCTCTGAGTATACCTGCCATAGATGTGTTGTTTTAACTATTGTTTTAATATTTTTAATAGTTTATTATATTGTTGATTGTTTTATTATGATGACACCATAGGGTGCTTTTGTGAGGCTGCCCTGAGTCCCCCCTCGGGGGTGAGAAGGGCGGGGTATAAATATAGGAAATAAATAAATAAATAAATAAATAGATGTGGGCAAAATGTCAGGAGAGAATGGTTCTGGAACATGGCCATGCAGCCCAGAGAACGCACAGCAACCCAGTGATTCCGGCCATGAAAGCCTTAGACAACACATTCACAGCACAGTTTCCCAAGAAATAAAACAGCAATTCCCCCCAATACAATGTTGGGCGCAATGCCCTCCAGCACCCAACTCAAACAGTCCATTCCGAAGAAATATCACAGCCAATAACACTGAAAATCGTTGTCTCTGAGCCGTACTTGCCTTGCTTTTCTCTCAGCAAAGGCCATCCCATAGGGTGAGCAAGGCAATTTCTATTTCAGAATCGAGCCATTACTCCGTTAAGCAGTAATGGGAACATTTCATGCAGTGGGGACAGGCATTTGTGCTGAAGGTGCAGGATATATCAACGATGGAAATAGGAAGCTAATGAACGGTCACATCACAGCGTTATCTGGCTTAGTGACTCAACCTCAAGGCAAGGAAAAGCTAAATAGAGATAAATCAGAGCGCTTTCTGAGAGACCCAAGTTCATGCACATAGCCCAGATGGACAATTGGGTGAGTCATTATCTTAATTTACTGGGTGTTGATCCAGGCACAATTAGGGAAACAGCAGAGCTCCTGGCAAAACAAACAAGGAGGCGCCTGGTGCTGAAGTGTTGGAGGGATGCGTCCACTCAGCGGGTTCAAAGGGATCTTGAAGTTTAAAGGCCACTCCTGCGAATTGTGTGGCATAATAAGGCTCTGGCTCCCTGCTAAGTGGACATCCATTTTCTTATTACATGTGGTAAACTGTAAATAGCAAGCCTGGGTTCTGTCCATGATAGCCTCTTATATTTGTTGTCATTCTTTTCTGCTTTCAATATATTTTGGACTTATGGAAACCCTATCATAGGCAGGTTTTTCTTGGTACGATTTTTACAGGCAAGGTTTGCCATTGCCTTCCTTTTGGTTGAGTGTCCTTTGCCCAAGGCCACCAAATGGGATTCTATGGCTGACTAGGGATTTGAACCCTGGGCTTCCAGAGATTAGTCCATCCAGCACTTGGACCATTACACCACATTGCCTTCAACTCGAATCTGGCTTATGTTAACCCTGTCATGAGATTTTCTTGGTGTGATTTCTTTAGAGCAGTGGTTCCCAACCTGTGGTCTATGGGCCACCAATGGTCTGCAAGAACTAAAATATAGGACGTTAAGTTCGTTTGGGGAGGCCCTGCTCTCAGTCCCAGCTGCATCACAAGTACGTCTGGCAGGGACGAGAGATAGGGCCTTCTCAGTGGTAGCCCCTCGGCTGTGGAACGCCCTTCCTACAGAAATTAGATCGGCCCCCTCCCTGTTAGCATTTTGGAGGAAAGTGAAGATCTGGTTGTTCGAGCAGGCATTTGAATAGGCAGTGTAACAAATATAGGAACATGGAACAATTGGATGATGAGACTGTATCTTGATTTTAACTATGAGACGATAATGAGATGTTATATGATGTTTAATTGATTTGTATTGTCGAAGGCTTTCATGGCCGGAATCACTGGGTTGTTGTAGGTTTTTTTGGGCTATATGGCCATGGTCTAGAGGCATTCTCTCCTGACGTTTTGCCTACATCTATGGCAAGCATACCTCTGAGGATGCTTGCCATAGATGCAGGTGAAAAATCAGGAGAGAATGCCTCTAGACCATGGCCATATAGCCCGAAAAAACCTACAACAACCCAGTTTAATTGATGGTTTATCATGCTATTGTTTTAATTGTTTTTAACTGCTTTATGGTGTTTTAAACATTGAATTTTGCTATTGGGAACTGCTCTGAGTTGCCCGAGGGCTGAGAAGAGCGGTATACAAATATAGTAAGTAAGTAAGTAAGTAAGCAAGCAAGCAAGCAAATAAATAAATAAATAAATAAAATATGGTCCCCAGCAACTGGTCTCACGAAATCCTCTTGTATTTATTTATTTATTTATTTATCTAAAACTTTTATATCCCGATCTTCTCCACCTCCGTAGAGTGCCAAGGCTTATTAAATATGTTTTCTGTGGGCGAGCAGATGGCAACTACTGGATGGCATATGTTCTGTATCAGAAATTAGAGCTGATGTGGTCTATCCAATGCAATTTTCTGAATCAGCGCCTCAATTAACCAAACTGAATCTAAAGTTGACCAAAAACCGATTCGTAACCCTTTTGGTACTAATGTTGGAGAGTGGTCCCTGGTCAAAAAAAGGTTGGGAACCACTGCTTTACAGAAAGTTTTGCCATTGTCTGTCTTTTAAGATAAAAGATTATGATTTTGTGTAAGATCACTCAATAGGTTCCCATATCTGAGAATTCAGGCCTTGGTCTACTGAAGGCCTTGTCCTATGCTCAACCATCACACTACTTTGGCTCTCATCTCCCATTTTGATCTTCTATCTAATCAACTTCTGATTCCAGATTCCATTCTTGTCTTCTGGTTTATTTATATTTATTTATGATTTATTTGGAGCTTTTATAGCCCGGTCTTCTCAACCTCCTAAGAGAGACTCAGGCCGGCTGACAGCAGAGGGTTAAAATACAATAAGATAAACCACAGTAAACATCATAATACAATAGTACAAAAATACATTAAAATACAATTATACAACTTACAAAAGGTCAGTTCGTCAGAATAAATCATAAATTCATCGCCATCCGCCCGTGTGGTCAGCAGTTATTGACTCAATCATCATTCTGCAAATGCAGTATTCCAAAGCCATGTTTTTACCAGCTTTCTAAAAGTCAGGAGGGAAAGGGCAGATCTAATCTCCATCGGGAGGGAGTTCCAGAGCCGAGGGGCCACCACCGAGAAGGCACTGTCCCTCGTTCCCAAAAATCGCGATTGCGAAGAAGGTGGGACCGAGAGCAGGACCCCTCCAGAAGATCTTAACAACCTTGATGGTTCATAGGGGAGAATCCGTTCGGACAGGTAAATTGGGCCGGAGTCGTTTAGGGCTTTATAGGTCAACACCAGCACTTTGAATTGTGCTCGGAAACTGATTGGCAGCCAGTGGAGCTGACGCAACAGAGGAGTAATATGCTTAGACTTGGATCGCATTTCCTCCTCAGTTAGATTTAAGGCTTGCTTGCTAGAGAATTGCAAAAGTAACTTTTCTTGGCTCTGGGAAGGCCATCCACTGTCTCACCCTGGCCTAAGTGAAGCATCATGTCATATTC